GTTTCTCACACAGTTCCACATGTTCTTCTGCGAGTCAAGGGTATGCCTGGGTGACTTCCAAAATCATAGTTTGAGAAACAAAACTATGGTTTGAGTGGAATGTCATCTAAATAGTATTATTTTGATGTCATAATCTGAAATCATGGTTTGGGCCGAAAACCATAGTTTTGAAACTATGGTTTCACGAAAAGTGAATCTATTCTTCTTCTTGCTCAAATTGGAGAGTATGATTGTGCCTGTCAGAGTAAATCTCAACAATAATATGACTTTAACATCTCTCAATTAATTTTTTATAAACATATTAATCTTATATCTTATAAATATATATATACACATATTAATTATTCATTAATTATATTATCTTATATTATTAATCATGTTAGTAAAAAATATATTATTAACAATTTAATCCTTTAAATTAAAATATATCATAAAATCTATCTTTTATGTAATTATCATATTAACTTGTGTTTTTTAGCAATTTGTAATATAAAAAATGCTTCTGATAATAACTATCCAAACACTCTTACTTCTTAGAATCATTTTTTTACAAAATCTATTTTCACAAAATTTATTCTCCCCATAATCTATTCTCCAGAAGCTATTCTTCAAAGCATGGTTTGGTTTCAACCAAACTAAGCCCAATGCACGCACACACCCCCATTGACATAAACAAATTAATTATGAAATGGTGTACTAAAAAACATTTTAAAAAATATTTTTATACAAATTGAGTCAAATTTTTTTCATACTTATTTATATATCATTAAATTATTTTTAAAATTATGATTTGATTTCTACAAAAAAATTAGTATTTTATTTTTGAAAAGTTATATTTAGATTTTAAGAGTCAGTGATAACTTGAACATCAATGATTATTTTACTTTAAAAAGTTGCAACTTTAGTTTTAAGTATTGATGGTATGTGGTGCTTGTTTGGAATTACTTAATATGAGTATTTTTATATAAGTCGAGATAAAACTTTCATTATATATTTACCTTATACTTTTCATGTCCTTAATATAAGATTTATTTAACTAATTTGATTAAATTAAAAAGTTAGTTAATTAGAAGAAATATGACATGTTTTTTCTAAAACACCATAATCATCTTCCTTAATATTCTCTTTCCCTCTTCTACTTAATTATGTTGAAGAGTATCTATGGGGTAATTTAAGAAAGTTGATAAATATGAGAAATTAGTTTTATATTTAGGATCAAAATCAACTCAACAATTAAGTCATATATTAAGGATTGGAGGAGTATTTCGTAATTCACGGTTAAAAAACTTTTTCTAGATGCTTAGACCATTTGGAAAATAATTGATGCTGGTCTTTGCTCTCTTTACAGCTAGCATCTGTAGCATTCCTCTGGGTTTGCAGCTGTTGTTGAGGAATTTAATTTGGTAATTGTTAGTTTTTGCAATATTTACTTTCTCTCTTGTAAATTTTTATGTAGGTTAGTTATGTTGTGTGGTGCCACACTGCTATTTTATATGTGATTAATATATTTACTTTTCCATATAATGTACTTGGCTATTTCATTAAAAAAAAGAATAGGATTTATAATCGTAAGTGATATTACCATTGTTACAGCTCAAATTATTTGTAACAATAATTTAGGAGCACAACATGAAATGCATCTTGAGGGATATTAAAAAAATAAATAAATAAATGTGAAGGAATATACACATGTAAATTCTGAAGATAACCTTAAACGATAAGGCCAAAAAAAAAAAAACAAAAGAAGATAACCTTAAATGATGGAATGTGTCTCGACTTCTATGATATAGAATCTCGTGAAAGCAACACAACAATGGCAATGGTTAAAACAGAACCACAATGCTACTTTTGAGTTTTGACTGTAACCAACATTTGGGGTGAAATAGTTAAATAATAAAATGAAAAGTACTTTTATGTCATTATCAGTAGTTTTGTTTTTGTTTTTAATTTTCTGGCCAAACCATTACTACCAGTTTGTTAAGTTAGATGGGAGTTTTTTGTCTTTATGAAGGAAGATTCCCTTTACAAGGAGAAGCTGCCTCAACTGTCAAATTAGCCTCTTGGAAGCATTTGCATATTGAAATGCAAAAACCTATTATGAGGGACGGTATCACTGAAACTTGTCTTGTTTTGCCAAGTGTCTTATAGTCCATTGGCATATATATATTTCCTTGTGAAGGAGAGATTACGAGCTTAAGTCTGCCTGTAATTTTACGCCGTTAGTTCCTGCTCTTTAAATTCTTTTTTTTTTTAAAAAACCTATTTTGTTATCTTATGATTTTTTTTGTTTTTAAATCTTGTTTTAAGATCACTCTTGGTAATTTTTTTTATTTGCAATGAACAAGTTATGAATTATCAACAATCAATTAAATTATTCATCTGGATTAAATTTTTAATTGCTAACTAACTCCAACTTGATTTGTAAGATGACCATCAAATTTGATTACTACCTCCTCTTTTAAATATAAAATTTTGTTTGTAGTGTGATTTGCACTATAATTTTGATCTTATCTTTAGAACTAGAGGTAATAATTATTCCTCTAGTCTTATTTATAAGTTTTAAATTTGGAGAGGGGTATAATTTATTTTATAAGTTTCAATTTACGTTTTGTCTAAATATTTGATGCATTTTTTATTTTTATTTTTAATTATTTATTTTCTCTCCTTTGCTATACCTTCTTGTCACAGTTCTTTATATATTATCTTTCATCTTTTTTTTTCTTTTCATTTGATTAAGGATATTTGCTTTCGAGGCTTGGAACGCAAACGTTTTTTATCTTTCCCAACAAGTGCGCTTCTCAAAATTTAAACTTGTATTCTCTTCTTTATGGGGTGAGGCTACTTATCACCTCACCAAACAACTTGTTAGTTTTATTATTTTTTATTTATTATAACTGCATATTTAACCATAAAATTATATTTTTAACCTATTTATTATTTTTAACTAATTTTAAATATTTATTTTTTATCTGTGAATTAGATATTTGAAACTTATTAAGAGGAGGGGTATTAATTTAGGAAATATGCAAAGTGAAACAAAATTACAAAAAGCAGAAGGGGACACGGTAATTTATGGGGCTTTGTACTGTTGCTTTTGAGCCCTTGGAGTTGTTAGGACTTGGGACTATGTGTCCTAGAAATGGTCCTATCCAATTTGGACTATTGGCGAAGGTGTTGAAGACCTGGGCATCTAGGCCCTCATGGTGAGGGTGGATGCCAAATAATATTTGGATTTATTCGCAGAAATATGCACGATGTATTTAAATACAGATTACAAAAATAATATAAAATTTGTTAAAAATAGAGGCACACTCAGTAAGGGACGGATTGGGTGTTTATTTAAATCCAAAATACAGTAACAACAAAGTTTAAATATATTTTTGAGTAACTTCAAGTTTAAATCTTGTTTGCAAGAATGAGTGTATGGAACTTGAAATCAATTTTTCAAAAGGAAATTTTAAATATAAGATAGTTAACAATTTCTCCTATGATATACAATAATGTGGAATATTGTCAGTAAAAACTCTTAAAAATACTTTATTCCATATTAAGTTAGCTTCTTTAATATTTTTCATCATCAAAACTTAAATTTTATATAATTTTATAGGTCATTATACCTAATGTATTGGCTCCGAACGGCTCTTTGTCAAAGTCTGGGTTGGTTTATAGATTCAAAATTCTAAATTCCCTAAACAATTCAAGATTACAAGCTACACATGAACAGTGCAATCTGCAATGCAGATCGTGGCATAAAATTACAATCTCCAGAGTAAAACGGCCTGATCCTGCAGCCAAACAATTTTGCTGTAGGAGCAGTGAGAAATACATTGTCAGCTGATACACCAAGCAGAAACATGAAGAGCTGATAGAAACATTCCATAAAATCTTATTCTGATAGAAACATTCCATAAAATCTTATTTAGATGAAGCTCTTGGGTTAAATATTTCGGCTAAGTATCCCTATGTGCAAGGGACCTCGGAAATATTCCATTAGGTGCTGAGATTCTATTACCCTAAAAGTCTGCTTTTCTGGTCATATCTCAGATGAAAATAAATAAGTCAAATCAAATAAGTGTTGACACTGGAGGCTTGAGAAAGAAGGAAAAGAAAGGTTCCATGCATGAGAAGTTTTCCATGAAAACTAAGAATGAAGGAAACCACCCAGTACACTTTCGAGCTTTCCCATAGCCTTCTCCATGCAGAAACAATGTGATTACATCAAGCCGCTTCTAAAAGGTAAGTGCTAGAGAAGCAAACAGAAGAGAGAACAGAGTTGAGGAAACAAATCACCTCTTCATTGTCTAGCTAAACATCAGGCAGCATAACAAACATATCATCACTCCTCATCCATGGGTTTAGCAGGCAAAAAAGTTGGATATGCTCACTAAGGAAGCAGGTTCGACTCTAGAGCACGTCGCGGCATTAGGGGAGGTATCTTCAAAGCCGAGGCCTCAGCTCGTAACATTTTTGTGATTTCGTACGTGGATGTCTCCCCATCCCAACAAAGCTATGGCGCTGGATAGGGTTGAAGTCAAGGGTTAGTTCTTTTGCTCTTGGATCGTGGGTGAACCCAATCTTTTTCCTAAAATGGTCACCAAAATATATACTCCTTCTGTCTCTTATTATAAGATTTGATTTTTTGAATAGATTTGTCCTTTTTTATAAGATCCCTTTTGATTTGTCTGAACATTTAATATATTATTACCTATTTTATCCCTAGTTTAATGCATTTAATACATTCTCTTTATTTATTTATTTCATTATTACTCTCACATCTCGCCATTTTTATATAAGGGTATATTTGGAAAAAAATTACGTTTGCTACATATTAATTGTTTTTAACTAATTTTAACATTTTTCTTAAACCGCACAATTTAGCTAAAAAGATCTTATAATAAAAGACGGAGTAGTATATATATATTGATTACTTTCTTTCCCTTCTCTGCCAGTTGATCTGAAGAAGGGCATGATTGGTGCATGTAAGAGATGATGGGCACTACTTTAGAAAGAATAAAGAATCTTGGTGTATGTATCACAGCAGCATTGGGCCTATTCCTAAGTCTATGTTTGCATATGGTTCAGCGAGTTCAGTAAACTAGCTGGCTCACTGAATTACGTATACTAGCATGCACTTCATAATCTCTCGAATCATAGTGCATGACTCAGATTCACTTCTCATTTAAATATTGACATCGTAACATAGCTCATCATAGCTGGCAAGACTCCAATTTATAAAGAGAAGATCTGTGCAGCAAATTTGAGATCAGAACAAAACGATCTACCCGAATTGTACAAAACTTGGCATGAATGTCTTTGGTTTTTCAAACTAGACCTAGCACTGCAAATGATAGAGATAGCAGGAGTGAAAACGGCAGTGGAAATGGAGCCGGAAGCTTGGCTAGCTTCTCTATCAAAGAATTACCACCTTCTTAAGTGACTTATCTCTATGCTCCGATGAGGGAAATTGACCTGTTAACATCTGCAAAAACCGAAGTGACAATTCTAATTAATGGCAAACAAAGGAAAAGTAGGCCGCATGCAGTCATGATTAAAGGAAACTAAACAAACTGGAATATTCCAACAACTTTAATCATCAAACCTGACAAATTTTGGGAAGAATGCATGGTATCAGTCAGCAGATTAATAATACATTTGTTTACTTAGCAAATTAGTATCCGTCATGATCATCAATAGCCAAGGATATATATTGTTGCTTTCAGTTTGACCCAAAAAGGTATATATAACCCTTTAATTTACAGCATCAATATCGTCACAGCCAATCCACCTCACATTGGAACCTGTTAGGAGCTCTAATTGTAAGCTCCTACTAAGGTTACTTTTGATAACATCCAATCAACGAGTACCTAACTGTTCACCCTTCTAGTGTGGTGAGTGGTTAAAAGATATCAGATTCCTATACCCAGATAAGTTTGAACAATCAATATTTCCTATTTCTTGGCAATGTAATCTTTGTTCGTGTATATAATCTAAACTGTACATACAAGTACCAAATTGAATAAGTTACCACTCATTGAGCACTGCGCACAATCCTTTTAATTTTAATTGCATAAGACTTGAAAGTTATAATGATGCTGCATAGAAACCACTCATTTATTACACTAGTTCTACTCTTATTACTCAAATTCTGCATCCATGATTACAGCTTCATTTCTTTAAGGACATGCGATATAAATAACAACCAGAAGCTGTATAAGATCTGTAGTAAATCTGTATCCTGAACACATTTATGGGATGAATAAAAGCATATATGAAGTCAAATAATTGTTATACTGATATCACGAAATAAAGAGTGTATAAAGCAGATGCATGAAAAAGGAAATGTTAACAACCAGAAAACACCCTTCGCCAGTGTCTTGCCTTCTGCCACAATTATGGTTTTCTCTAAAAGAATCCTGCAGTTACCTTGCACTGCTTGTCAAAATAAATAATAATCATGATGATACATGCTCGTTTCATAAACTTAAGAATTGTTGCATGAATTCCATCAAAAAATGATAAAAGATTATGAATATACAACAATGCCATCTTCATCACTTTGAGTGCATGTAAGTTGCTATGATAATAAAAGAAATAACTTGATCCCTTACTTGAATGTATAATAAAGGGTAAAAAGAACACCTAGCAGTGATGTGTTTGAACTTGTGAATTCTTTTTGTTTCTTTCTCCCCCCAACTTTTTCCCCCCAATTCTTTCCCACACGTGATTGGAAGGTGAGGGATAAGTTTCATATTGAAGTCGAATGAATTTGAAATTTTATCCCTTAAAAACCAAAGCAAGTAAAGTTAAAATCTTGTAAAAATAGTTATGTACTAAAAAAAAAACAGACATATAAATCCGCGTCAACATTTTTCTAATTTTAATGTAGAATCTCATCTATTCAAGATCTTGTTTATGCAACAAGGATAGCAGTCATCCCTCTGATACATTCACTTATGATATTTGTCAGAAACATTTTGCAAAATAGCTTGTCTAATAAGGTTGGCAGGTGACTTTTATAACACGTTTCCATTGGCATGCTCATGAAAACAGTTATGTGCTAAAACCAGTTTTTCAATAGTTAGTATGCCAAGGAACTCTGAAATTCATCAATGGCAGAAAATTTTACGCAGTGCATATATAGAAGACCATAAAATAATACAACATGATATCTGCCAATAATTAGGCAAAAATTCTGATCAAGCCACTGCGCACATTTTAAATTGCATCAAAGAACTAAATTATGGTATTGACACTCACATTCCCAAGTTGATAAGCCTCCTGTGGTTGATTATAAAAATAAGAAAGGTACAAGCAATAACATTGGAGACTCAAGGGCTCAAGCATTTCAGACTCATGATAGTTAACCTAAAGGACATTTGAATGAAGACCCAAAGAAAAACTATGTAGTAAGCTAAAAGAAACAAGCATTTGGAATGCACACTCTTACACCTTTAATTATGCTTATTCAGGCATTGTCTTATTAGCTGGAAAACAAATAAAAGAACTTTCATGTGGTCCATAATATTCTGCAAGTCATTATCATTTTAGATTATTTAATTCAAGAAAACTTTATTTCAGCTAAAATTTAAAAGCAAAAATGCTAATTCATGAGCAACAACTGTGATGCCTTAAAGATAATAAATAATTAGAAATGAAACATGAAGGAAGAAGGAAAAAAGTTCATGTTAAGACCAAAAATAATAATAATAACAATAATCAAGGGTAACATATACACGAAGTCAACAAATATATTTAACCTATAACTTCAACAAAATTTCTTCAACTCCTTTCTGCCCATTAAATAATCTAACAATTTGGGTCGGAAAGAAGCAAGCATTTGCTCGCCATTAGAGACAAATTTCAATGAGTACAATATATACACAAGTAGTGTTTGACCTAGTTTTATTGCTTTAGAAGACCACTATCAATCATTTCAAGAAGAAGCTTCTCCACCATATCATTCTCACTTTTTTCCAAAAAGGCTCGAACAAGTGTTCTATATGTTATTAAATCAGGGAGGCAGCCATTCTCTTTCATTTTTTGAAGCAAGGTCATACCTTCATCAAGCAACCCTTCTCTACAAAGGCCGTTGATCATAATGTTAAATGCACAAACATCTAGATGATGGCCTTTGATCAAAAGGCATTGAAAAATCTCTCGTGCAGTATCTAGTCTACCACCTTTGCACAAACCATCAACAAGTATACTATATGTGTACTTGCAAGGCCAAATACCTTGGTCAATAGTTTGCTTAATTAATAGAATCCCCATGTCGAGATTTTGGCTTTTGCAAAATGCATCCAACAAGGTATTATATGTGATTATATTAGGGGTTTGACCACTGGCATACATCTCATGTACAAGATCTTGCACACATGACATTCTTCCTGATTTGCATAAGCCATCAATAAGGGTATTATAAGTTACAACATTGGGGACCAAGTTTTTCTGATGCATTTCTTTAAAGAGATCCAAAGCTTCATCCACCATACTAGCCTTGCAGAGTCCATTAATCAAAATACTATAACTCACAACAGTAGGTGTCAAGCCACTTTGGATCATTTTGTTGAATACTTTCTTTGACTCGTTGACATTATTCATCAAACAATACCCCTCCATCAAAGCACCATAAGTTACAACATTAGGCCTCTCACCACACTTCATCACCCTAGCAAACAATGCTTGAGCTTCTGTGATCCTTCTCTCCTTACCAAATGCATCAACCAATATACTAAAGGTATAAACATCGGGTTTGATGTCTTTCAATACCATTTCAAGGAGCAATTGAGTAGCTTCTCGCCATTGGCCCATACTATAGAAACCATGGGCAAGTGAGTTGTAAGTAATATTATTTGGTAAAATTCCACAACCAGTCATTTTAGAACACAAATCACGTGCCTCACATGTTTGCCCTTCCTTACAAAAACCATCAATGATTGTGTTATACATTACTACATTAGGCTTAATTCCAAGCCCCTTCATCTTTTCGAGCAATTCAATGGCAGATCTTAGTCTCTTTGCTTTACATAACCCATGGATTAAGGTTCCATAACTGACTTCATTTAACTGAAATCCTTTGGCCAATAACTCCTCCTGAAAGTCTACTGCTTCCCCAACCTTCTTACCAATGCAGAGTCCTTTAATCAGTGTAGTCAAGTTTATGATATTCGGTTGAAAACCCATCTTGAGAATCCTTCCCAACACTGAGAAAGCAGAATACAACTGACCCACCTGGCAGTAACAATTGATCAATATGCTCAATGTAAAAAAATCATGCGTGAATCCATTGAGCTCGGCTTGTGCAGAAAGTGAAATAACAGTTCGATAATGTTTACTCTTTGCAAGTGATCCTAAAATCTTAGTAATCTGGAATAGGGAAGTTGGGGGACGCATACATATCAACCGATTGAATGAAGCAACGGCGTCGTCGACGTTACTTGCAAATGGGGTTTGGGAATAAGGTTGGGACTTAAGATTGAGAGAATAAGGGAATGAGAGAAGGATAAGAGATGGAAGAAAGTGAACATATTTAGGGAAGGCATACCTTAAAGCTATACACATGTTCACCGGCGCAGATAGATCTCCCAACAGATGGGTGGAAGGTAGCCGCCGACGAGAAGCTCAAGAAGGTCAGCCTATGAAAATCGAATCTTTTAACCTCAGACAAATGCAATTTCCCGGACAAAGCTGCTAATGCAATTCTTTGTGTGTAGGGAGTAGGGTGTGCTGGGATCCGATTTCCCGGGAAAAAAAAAACAGGTTTTCTTCAAGAATAATTTATTTAGAAATTATATATTTATTATCTTATTAAAAATAAAATTTATACTATATTCTCTTAGTAATAAAAATATTATTACTTGGAAATAACAAAATCATTATCACTTACAATTTGTTTTAAGATTTTGACTTAATAATTCAGTCCAAAGAAATTTTAACTTACTAACAGTTTGATTATGTGAAAAAAATATAATACCACAAATAAACTATAAATCATATTTTTTTCATTTTTACTTTTGGCCATCAACTATCATCTTGAATGATAAAATAAATTCGCATGCTGATTCATCATTCATCCAAGAAGATCACTTTCTGGTCAATGCGCAGTTGCGCACAGTAAAAGAAAAGGAAATTTTTTTTTTTTTTTGAATAAGGAAGAAATGGAAAGTAAACTGTCATTAAAAGCCAATTCTTGGCTCCTAAAATCGTCAGACTTCGAAATAATTGACCTCCCAAATATCTACTTCATCTTTCGGACAGAAGTCAAAGAACTAAGAAGGAGACTATTGTTTGAGGGACCATGGTTTATTCAAGGACATTACCTCGCTATACAGTGGTGGAGTCCTAATTTTAATCCCTATTGTAACAGAGTGAGGAAAGTAGCGATCTGGGTAAGAGTTCCAACTCTTCCCATTTACGTCTATGATGAAGCGTGTATGTTGGAACTGGGAAACCTGATAGGAAGAGCTCTCAAAGTCGATACAAATACTCTGGCTCATTGCAGCAACAACAGAGTGGCGGTGGAGCGAGGAAAATTTGCAAGAGTAAGCGTGGAAGTTGACTTAAATAAGAAACTTCAGTCCAGGTTCGTTTTGAGGAGGAAGATATTCACTGTTGAGTATGAAGGATTAGATGCCATTTGTTTCAAATGTGGCAGATATGGCCACACTCAAGAAAAATGCTCGCATCACCAGACTGGAAACCTAGAAAACACCTCGGCGAACCAAAACACACCAGTGTCGGATTCTGGAAATGAAGCTACGGGAAATGCCAGGAAGCAACCGTTGATCAGCACGCTGGGGATCACGCATCACGAGGAGTTTGGGGACTAGATGCAAGTGAAATGTCCAATCAGGCAGCATGCTCAAAGATCTGAAACAGAGAGAAAGCAACATAACAAGGAAAGTGGCAGCATAAGGGGCAAGGAGAGAGATCAGACGAAACCCCTGGGTACTAGATTTGAGGTCTTGCAAGAGGAGGTCAACCATGTCCCATCGGCAGAGAAGAAAGAGCCTAGCAAAAATAAGGTAATGGGTACAGAATGGAGGAAGAAAGTAGCAAAGCCAAAGAGAGCATCAGTAAGCCCTGCAGTCAGCACGAGAGGTCAGACTTTTGAAAACAGTACACATGAAAACGGGGACTGCAGCATGGGCAGGAAAATATTGTTGATGTGAGAAGTGAAGAGAGAGATATAGTAGAAAACGGCAGGAAAAAAGAGAAGGAAAAGACAAACCATCAATTTTTGTTTAAAACCCTATGACCGAAGGAGACCAAGCCCATTTCAGAAAGCAAAACGCAGGTGGGTAGGAAAAGGGGACAACTAACAAGGCCCAAGATTCTATCCCCCAAACTAAAAAGGAAGCCCACGGTGAGAAGTCACAGAATAATTATGGGCTCTCTAGAGGCAATGGGCTGCGATAAAAAACAGATAAATGAAAGAAGGATACAAGTTGACGAGACAAAAGAAGACAGGGGCGGAAACATAGCAACACAAGAGCTATCCAGTCAGAACCAAGAGCAAAATGACAGAGTTATGGAGGAAATAACATCGAATATCGAACTGAATAAACCTCCGGACCCTGGACAACTAGCTAGAGAACTCCAATTCAATTCAGAAAGTGGAGATGCAAATGACCTGTGGTATGAGACAGTGGACAATGGGGAAGAGGCAAACGCAGGGGACAGAAGGATGGAAACAACGAAGACTACTTGAGATAAGTACTCTTCGATCTTATCTCTTCTGTTTACTTATGAATTTAATTTCCTGGAACTGCAGAGGCGCTGCCTCAAAGAACTTCCCCGGAAGAGTTAGAGATTTGGTGAAAGGGAATTCTGTTGATGTTATGGTTTTACATGAAACTAGAATTAGTGGAGTTAAGGCTAATCGAGTTATCTATCGCCTGGGATTCACGAATTGGATCAGACTTGAAGCTATAGGGTATGCGGGGGGAATTTGGGTGTTGTGGAATGAAAATGTGATTCAGATTGACTATCAATTTTCTACCACTCAGTCAGTACACGTTCATGCTTATCACAGAAAAGAAAACAAGAAGTTTTTCCTCACTTGTGTTTATGCAGAACCGAACGAAATGCTTCGAAGGACCTTGTGGTAGGATCTTATTAACATTAGCAATGTTACTGAGGAACCCTGGTTGGTGGTTGGGGACTTCAATGCTTATTTATCCATAAATGATAAAAAAGGTGGATCGCCCCCGAATCTCATCTCCATGAGGCAATTCAGTAATTGTATCCATGAGGCTCGGCTGATGGAACTTGAACATGTGGGGGATCACTTTACCTGGGAACATAATTGCATGAAAGAGAAACTGGATTGGGGTTTCTCCAATACTGCCTGGAACACCCTATTCCCCCTCACTAAAATACATCATCTGTTGAAATATGGATCGGATCATCGTCCTCTTTTCATCAAGAATACGACCAATGGTACTAATAGAGGATATAAGCATCCGTTCTGATGTCAAGCAGCTTGGGTCCTTGAAGAGGGCTTTAATGAAATTGTGAACAAGTCTTGGGTACACTCGAAATGGGGAGAAAATATTCAAAGGTTCACTAAGGAAGCCGAGAGTTGGAACCGAAACATTGTGGGGAACATCCTAAACAGAAAAAGAAATATATTGGGAAGGTTGGAAGGAGTAGAAAGAGCCCACAACAAAAAAGACAACCTCTACCTTTACCAACAAGAAATAGAACTATGGAAAGAGTACAATAAGGTCCTTGCTCAGGAGGAACTTATTTGGTTCCAAAAGTCCCGGTGCAACTGGCTGAAATATGGAGACAGGAACAGTAAGTATTTTCATATGTCAACCATAATTAAAAGACAAAGGAACTGCATAGAAGGACTCCAAAATGCCGCAGGGGATTGGGTTTTTGATCATTATTCTCTGAAGAGCATGGCTCTCAATTATTACAGAACCCTATTTAGCAGTGAGCTGCAACACAAGAATCAATTAATCACTTCTCACAGTTTCCCCCTCTAAATGAGAGTGAGATTTCTCTACTTTCGGCTGATGTTACAGATGATGAAATCAAAGAAGCAGCCTTCGATATAGGAGCTTTCAAGGCCCCTGGACCGGATGGAATTCAAGCTTTCTTCTATCATGAATTCTGGCCAAGCATTGGTTCACATGTATGCAAGCTTGTTAAGGATGTGTTTCAAGACCCAAAACGAGTTGAAGAGGTAAATGCCACAAACATTGTCCTTATACCAAAGCTAGACAAGCCAGAACAAATGAAGGACTTTCGACCTATCTCCCTCTGCAATGTAAGCTATAAAGTCATCACCAAATTTATCAGTAAGAGATTAAGAACCATTATGGGAAAACTAGTGGAAGGGCACTAATGCAGTTTTATTGTCGGAAGACAAAGCAGTGATAACATCATCATAGCTCAAGAAGTGATACATTCGATGAGAAGGAAAAAGGGTAATAAAGGATGGCTAGCAGTTAAGGTAGACTTGGAGAAAGCCTATGATAGACTGGAATGGCCATTCATTTACGATACCCTCAAACTGGCAGGCATAGATGAAAAACTTTGCAAGGTTATCATGGCTTGTATAAGCAGTGCTTCCTTTCGAGTATTGTGGAATAGGGAACCAATAGAGGAATTTCAGGCTTCCAGGGGAATCAGACAGGGTGACCCAATATCCCCTTATATTTTCACTCTTTGCATGGAGAGACTGAGTCATATTATAAAAGATGCTATAGAAGACAGAGAATGGGAGCTAATCAAGCTTAACTCAATAGGGCCTCCTATTTCCCATCTTTTCTTTGCGGATGACTTAATTCTTTTTGGAGAAGCTAGTTCTTGGAAAGTTGACACAATGGTTGATTGCATAAATCAGTTTTGTATGGTCTCCGGTCAGAAAATGAATAGAACCAAGACTAAGATATATTTTTCCAATAATGTTCACTTCTCTTGTGCTAGAGATCTTAGCCAGAGGATGGGTGTTGGCCTTACAGGTGACCTGGGCAAATACTTGGGTATACCACTAATATATAAAAGAGCCTCTTATGTTGTCTTTGCCCCCAATCGCAGAAAAATCACAAAAGAGACTAGCTGGATGGAAAAAGAAACTGTTGAATCTAGCAGGACGTTCTACCTTGATAAAATTTGTTCTCTCTGCTTTGCCCTCCTACTATATGCAAACTATCCTTCTACCGAAAAAGCTGACTGATGATCTAGGAAAGACCAGTAGAGAATTTCTGTGGGGAGAAGGTAATGGAGAAAGGAGAATTCATCTCTTATCATGGCAGCAAGTTACCATGGAGAAACAGACGAGCGGTCTAGGCCTCAAAAACCTAAGGAAACAAAATGAAGCTTTCATCCTCAAATTGTGCTGGAAATTAGTATGCGACAGAGATGCCCTTTGGGTTAGAGTGCTAAGAACAAAGTATAATTGTGGTGAGCAGAGGAAACCTGATGTGAAGAAATGCCTGATGCGTCACTTACTTGGCAAGCCATCTGTTAGCTCTGGGGGAGTTTTAATAAAGGTCTGGGCATGAAGATTAGTGACGGCAGAAATAGCTCCTTCTGCTTTGACAATTGGTCTGAGGTGAACACGCCCCTAATTGATCTGATCCCGGGAAGGGAAGGTCTAGTTGACCCAAGAGAAAAAGTGAGGGACTATGTTACGCCACGGGGCAAATGGGATTGGAGAAAACTCAGCCATTGGTTTAACCCAGATACAGTTGAGAAGATTATGTGTGCACACCCCCTTGTGAGGAGAGAGGACAGGACAAACCATTCTGGAAACCATCCTCGGATGGTAGTTTTACTGTTAAATCTGCTTATTCCTTTCTTTGTGCAGGTACTCAACAACAGGCAGATAGTATATGGAAGAAGATTTGGCGATGGCAGACTCCGGAGAAGATTAAAACCTTCATATGGCTCTTCACACATGGAAGACTACACACAGCTGACCTTAGGAGACAACAAGGCATAACAGATAGCGCTACTTGTCCCTTTGGTTGTGATGCAGAGGAAACAAGTATGCATCTCATCAGAGACTGTACTAATGCACGGCAACATTGGCAGAGAGTGATCTCCCATGATCTTTGGGATAGTTTTTTCAGCATTAACGGACGAGACTGGGTGGAATGGAATCTAGAAAAGGAAGCAGGGCAAGAGCACATGAAGAAAATATCATGGGCTTATCTGTTTGGGTATATCTGTTGGGACATTTGGGTTGACCGTTGCAACAAAATTTTTGACCCAACTTTCATTGTAGATTACCAAAGCCCAAATTCTAGCTTTTTCAGGGCCTGTTGGGACCACGATCTCATACGGCGTTCAAACTTTCATGGCTATAATCAAGGGCCCAACCAGGTGGCTTGCGGATACCAAGAGGAAATTGTTAAGCTTGAGATAGATGGCTCAGTTTTGCCAAACAGAGACAACGGATGCGGAGGAGTTATCTGGGACAAGGAAGGCAAGTGGTTAACGGGGTTCAAATGCAAACTTACTAAGGTGCCCCCAGCGATTGCAGAATTAATAGGCATCATCCATGGACTTAACTTGTGCTGGGATAAAGCCTTCAGGAACATCCTTTTGTTAACCGACTGTATAGAAGCTGTTAATCTAATTATTAGAGGCTGTGCTAGTAACCACCCTTTTAGAGATGTAGTTGACGACAACAGGTGGTTGTTCTACGGGACTGGAATGTTCAAATTCAACACACTTATAGGGAAAATTTAAGAATAGTGGATACCTTAGCCAAGTCCTCCCATTTTATGGAGGGTAATTTTTGTATCATTGCTCAACCCCCTCCCTTTTTGCATGAAGAGGAGGAGTTTGTTGTTAGGACTTAGGTCCTCTTTTGCTGTTCGGACCTGATTTTGGTGTAATATAGTTTTCATTATTAAAAAAAAAGCCAATTCTTGAACCAAAAAAAAAATGAACATATTGACTTCGTGAAGAATTTTGATAGTAGTATTATAATAACTCAAATTATATCATAGTCACCATACGATATTATGACTAAGTAATCAAGACTTTTTAAGTAAAAACTTGAGTTTGATGGAATATTCCAAATACCAGGGAAAAAATGAAAGGAGTTGAAGAAAAAACGTATAAATATCAGGATCTGTCTTTGAGAATTCGGATAGGGGAAGCTGGGGCCGTAGCAGCTAGCTAGCTAGCTGCACACCGTGAGCGAGAGAAACTCAGTAGAAGGGAAAATGGGTGCAACGTCGTTATTGCCGGCGGATTTGTCAACTTGTTTGAAGAATTCAAGCCCTACGCCACTCAAAAGATACCATTTTTCATCACAGAAATTGAGTTTTAGTCTCCAAATGCGAACCTATCAGCATATTGCTGCTGGCATAGCCATTTGTGGGGCTTCATCATCAGACCATGCTTGTTCATTTGCGCAGGACGATCTGCAAGCTCTGTTACAGGTAATTTTCTCAAACAGCATTCCCTTCTTTCAAATGCGCGTGGAATTTTTAGAGTTGGTTTATTCTCCCCCCCCCCCCCCCCGGGGGGGATGAGATATAAGTATTACTTGGTCACTTTTCTGTTTTACAACATGAACACTAAGACTTGGATGTTATGACTGCTAAAGATTTCCGATTTCTTACTTATATGTGGTGTTTTTTTTTTTTTTTTGATATCTTGTTCTTAATGAGTTGCGTTCCTAATGAACTTAATATGACTAGCTCGGCTTTCTTGCAGGTCCTTCCATCTGATTTGCATGACAGTCTCCTAAACGAAGTTAAGAGGGATGAACTTTTGGAGGTGAGATGTGTTGGTTTTAGCGTCATCCTTTCTCTCTGGAAACACTCTAAAAACTTCCAATCAATATCCTCTTTGGGATTGGCAAAAGTTATCCTCCTGGCAGATTATAGCATTTGCAATTGATTTTGATTTTTCCATTGGGTCTTGATTTTCTTCAAAACTTTCTGTCACGTTCTTTTCTGATGCTTTCATAAAGAACCTCTAAAGAGGTGCTCCTTACTCTTCTAGATTTTGGCGTGATGACTCTTCTTGTTTGTGGAAATTTTATAAGAGGATGAACTTCTCTTAAGATGTTCAGGTCGATGTTATATATGAGACCTGACTTGTTTTAACTACACAATTTTAAGTTTGATATCCGTCCCCCGTT